TGATTTCATTTTTCTTTATGGTTGAATAAAATTTTGCACTCTGTATGTATTCCATATTTTAATTATCCATTCATTTGTTTATGGATATCTGGCTGGATTCCATTTCCTAAGTGCTGTAATTAGAGCAGCAACAGTGTATAGTATGTGGTATCTCTGTTGTAGGATATAGAGCCCTTTGGGTGTGTGACAGGAATGATCATGTATGCGAGTGCTCTACTTTCAGCTTTTTTTATTGAAGTTAGAAACAAGCTTGATTCACATGTCAATCCCAGCTCCCTCTCCTTCCCCTCCTCCCCCAACCCCCCCCACAAGGCCCTCCAGCCCCCCATGCAGTCCCCACTCTGATCCCTCCCTGGAGGGCCTCACCCTCCCTGGAGAATCTCCAGAGTCTGTCATTGCATCCAGGGCAGGGCCTAGGCCCTCTCCCAAGAGTCTAGACTGAGAGAGCATCCCTCATTGTGGGATGAGCAGCCAAAGTCCAGAAATCTCCATTCTGATTTACAGTAGCAGAATCAATTCACACCCCCACTCACAGTGAATAAGGGATCATTTTCCCCACATCTTCACCGGCATTTGTTGTCATTTGTTTTCTTGATGATAACCACACCAATTAGGCTTAGATAGATTCTCAAAGTAGTTTTAATTTGTGTGTCTGTAATAGCTGAGGATGCTGAGCCATGTTTTAAAATGTTTGCTAGTTGTTTGTGTCTCTTCTTTCGAGAACTCTTGGTTTAGTTTTATAAATTCCTTTTTTATTGGAATACTTGTTTTCTTGTTGCTTAGGTTTTAGCTTCTTTGTATATTCTAGGATGGGTAGATAGCTAGACAGACTGACAGGCAGACAGATAGATTATCCACCATTCTATAGACTCTCTCTTCAAATGACTGTTTGCTGTATGTTAGATTTTTAATCTCATGAGGCCTTCTTTATTGTTGATCTTATTTTTTCACATTGGAAGTCAAAAAACGTGTGGTTTTCCTATGAATAACCTCTTATCCCTCCATAGTCAATATACATGTGTGTGCAGTTCAGACCTCTGCACAAGAAGGTTACAACTTATTGATCATGTGACATTGCCAGGTATCAAGTGTGCTTTAGGTTCCAAATGTCTTTATTTGCCAGTATTTCAAAAGAACTCAAAGAGTGTATAAAACACAGTACATCACTCCCCATGTCCTCCTAACAAGCTTCCCTGCACAGGGTAAGTTCCCCTCCTTACGGTGACCTCCCAAGCAGAATCTGGTTTGTATGGTGGCCCCTCTTCCCTTCCTCTCCCAGCTTCATCCTCCTAACCGGGGTCTTGTTGTTGACTGATTTCATCTCAGTCTCACGGCCTTTGTCTCAGTCTTCCTTCTACCTGGAGCACTATCTTCCTGCCTCCTCACTGCCTCCCCTCTTCCTGCTCTGCACCTTCACCCCCCTCTGTCCTCCATCCTCTGTCTCTATGGTTACCGCATCAGCTTCTCCTCTTCCTGTTCTGGTTTGTCTTTCACTTCCCACAGAAACCTTTTTCCTGGTTATAATATATTGTATTAACATATTACCTATTAAAATTTTATATATTGTACATTAACATATTATGTTAACTAACATGTTGTATGTTAATTAATATTGTATATGCTAATTACATATTAATATATTATGGACATATGTATGTGGACAAGAACACTGTAGTTATTTATCTCATCCTATTTTTAAATTCCTACATGAGTTTCTATTTGAACCTATTTATGAATCTGTAAATTTCCACTGCCTATTTCCTAGGGTTGATTATAACATTCAGGACAATAGGAGTCTTGTTTTCTTTGCTGATGGGTGTTTAGTCCTTTAAGTGATGCCTGACTTAAAACAGCTGTAATGATAATAAAAAAAAAGGAAAGATAGATGTGTAGAGGCAAGTTTATCACATTGACGTTGGATTCAGGGAGTGAAGTTATAGAAATCCTGGACTCATAAGTAAATAGTTTAACATAATAAAATACTTCTTCATGGACAATAACAAAATGAAATTAAATATCCATTGGAGAAGTGAAAAAGTCCAGAATCTGCAAATACACTATTGTATTTTCAGGCATAAACTATTTGCTGGAGTTTGGCCCTGGATATATGAAAAAGTAGAACTTCATGAGACATTAAAACTTGAGTCTCAAAACTAAGGATAAGGTTATTTAAACAAAGCATGAGACATTTAGTCACTCAGTTTTGGGGAGGTTTTATGGTTGTATGGCATAAAAACTCTTGACATTCCAGAGTGACAGTAATGGGTCATGAGTGAGGAGGTACCCATGGAGGAGAGAGAAAAGAAATAGGATTAACTGTCTAAGAGAATATCATAGGGCAAGACTGGTTTTATTCTTCTGGCAGATCACTGAAATAATTTGACTTTCAGCCAATGGATATAAAACATATTTTTAGAGTATAATCTAGTGTCCAGTTAATGCAAAGACAAATTTGTTTGGAGACCATCGCTGATGGGTTCAGGGTAGCTGCGGATGTACTGCTGGACCCAACTTAAGAGCTGAAAAAATAGCAGCTTCTATTTTACAAGGCTTGTGTGTTCATATTTCTTGGCTGTATTGATCTCACCACTTTTCCTGAAAATGTGTTGCTTCTGTGTTGTATAACTTGATTCAAGTTCTGCTAGGTAGAAAACATGAATCATTGTCATTGAGAATATTACAACTGAGATATGAATGACAGCCAAAGAATGCCACATGCGGATACAGTCATGCACAAATCTTCACCTTCCCAAATATATCTTTGGCTCAAAATAGAAAGAAATTAAGTAAGAAATACACCTGGCCGGGCTTTGGTGGCTCACACTTTTAATTCTAGCACACGGAAGGCAGAGGCAGGTGGATCTCTGTGAGTTTGAAACCAGCCTGGTCTACAGAGTGAGTTCCAGGATAGCCTCCAAAACAATACAGAGAAACCCTGTCTCAAAAAAAAAAAAGAAAGAAAAGAAAAGAAAAAGAAAAAGAAATACACCTGGATAGTAATTTAGGAACTTGATGACTCTATAGTAAGGTTTTTCCTTTTTTTTTTTTTTTTTTTTTGGAGCACTTGAAAGCAAATATGATACAATGATCTGTAGTATTTCCAGAATGTTATTTCGGGTTATAAGCAGGATTTCACTGTGAAAAAGAACTGCTTTGTACATAACAGAGTTCTGTATCATTACTGGATAAAAATATAAATGTTAAGATTTCATTCTTGCAAATATGGACATATTACTGGGCCCAGTAAAAAGTTTGTGACTTTTCTGTCAGTCATTAAATGTTCCTCAAGAAAGGGGCAATGAGACTAAATCAAATCATAAGAGCCACATAGTTTCCAGAATAAATTAGCGGATTTCCAAAAATCTCAATTTAGTTTCAAAGTTAATCTGATTTTATGGAAAAAGAAGTATTAAGCCTTTAAACCAAGGGAAATTTGTTTTCAAAAGTAGCTTATCTAGCTTTGATGGGCTCTACACCCGTGTATATATGGGTAGCACTAACTTTATTGAGTGGGTTATCAAAACATAAAAATAAAAATGAATAAAAAGCATGATGGCACATTTCCCTAGGGAAGCAGATGTGGGTGAGTTTTTGAGTTCCAAACCATCCAGGGATACATAATAAGACATTGTCTCAAAACAAAGGAAAACAGGAAAGTATGAAATTGGCCATGGGAAGTGCTGTGGATGATATGGGGAGAGTTGATGGAAGCAATGGGATTTGGATATTATCGTATTTTATTGTGTATAAAATTCCCAAGAATAAAGAAAAATGTCCAAATAAATTATCTGATATTAGCTCAAGTGATGGTTAATACTAACCATTAATTTAGCAAAAGGCACCTAGAAGAAGGAACTCTGGGCATACCTGTTGAGAGCATCTTGAAGACATGCCCATTATGGGTAGCAACATTCCCTAGGCAGAAGATCCTGGCCTGTGTAACAGTAAACAAATACTCTGCTCACTGGCATGTGTGCCCTAATTAAGTGCCCTCCATCTGCTCTTTGCTGTGAATGTATATGACTTTCTGCTCCAGATTTCTGATACCTTGATTCCCTGCAATGATGACGTGTAGAACCCTTCTTCCCCTCAACTGCTCTTGTCAACATGTCACTGTAACTGGAAAAGAAAGTAATACAACTTAAGTAGTTGATTCTTCGATAATTTTAACATAACTAATCAATGTTTTAACCTCTGAAAGATTGTGCTCTGTATCAATAACAATCTGTTTTAGCTTTTGTAGAAATATATCTGTAGAATTAGAGTCCTGCTGAAGGAATATACCTATAGCAACCCATGGCATCCCTGTTCTAAGTGGCTGAGGAATATAAAAGGACTAAAATAAATGCCCAGGACTTGAAAGCTGGCTTAGTTGGTAAAGTGACAGCCACACAAACCTGGGGACCTGAGTTTGGATCCCCAGAATATATAAAAGCCCGGGTGGTGGCAAGATTTTTCAATTCCAGGTCAGGAATACAGATTTGAAGAGAATCTTGGCCTTGGCATAGCTGGAAAGAGTAATAGGTATTTTGTGCAGAGAACTATCTACCACACAAACTAAAAACTTGCCAAACTTCATGTTTTCATAGTATTTCCATACATCAAAAGATATTAAGGTGCAAATATTCTCTCACAGCATACTTAAGTACAGACTCACAATTATTAGAATCACACAAATAATACACTTGTACTCAAAAAACTGTTATAAAGAAATTCTCCTAATAATACTTATTAGAAAGTTGGAAACATGCATGTGTACTTGTAGACATTCTACTTCTTTTTCATGTGTTGAATGTTCATGTAAAATGCACGCTTGGCACTAGATCAGCCTCTTCTCCATGAAGGGCCCATTAATGACCTGGGCTAGACCTTCTCTTCCCTGTCAAATAGAAGACTGCCCGTTATCCAGTGGCCTTTTTGCTACCATGAAGACAGGGAACTTTTATTCTTTTTCAAAAAATGGCCTTTCAGATTCAGTAACAGCTTTTTCTGTTCCTCAGGAAACAAGGGATGATCGAGACAGAACGCGGCTGGACTCCATGGTGCTGCTAATCATGAAACTGGACCAACTAGACCAAGACATCGAGAATGCCCTCAGCACTGCCTCTTCCCCATCCAGCACCCCAACGAACCTGCAGCGGCATGCCACTGTGAGCTCCCTGCTCCCTGCTCTTTCTCCTGGTGGAACAGTGCCTCTCTGTGTCTGTTTGGCTGTTGTTATTAGTGTTTTTTAGCTTTTAGTTGTTTTTTGTTTGTTTGTTTTCCCAAAAACTGGGGATTAACCCTCAAGTCTGCCCCACACTAGGCAAGCGATCTTCCAATTCATTTTATTACCAGTCCTGTTTTTACTTTGAGACACAGACTAAATAAGTTGGCCAGCTGTCCTTAAACTCACTATGTAACCCTGATTGGCCTTAACTTACTATCCTCCTGCCTTTGCTGCTCAAGCTGACATCTTTAACACAACAACCACCATAATAGTCATCTGACTGACAAGAAACTAGATTTCAACCTTGAAAGCTGATAAAAATGAAACTTTCGTTTTTGGTAATCTTAATAAATTTTCTTATCCTTCAAGATTCATTGCAAATATTTTCCTTGCAGTGAGTTGTACCTAAATAACTTTCTAGAAAAAAAAAACAAACCCTAATCCTTCTCTCCCTAGTGCTGTCTTAGTTACTTGCACATAGTTTTATTTTAGCAAAGAGAAAGGGGATCTAAATGGGAGAAAGTAATGTGTAGTCTTCCAGCCAGCCGCCTGGGCCTGGGCCCTGCTGCAGTTTCAGCCCCCAAATAACACACAGGACACTATATTAATTATGAAGCTGTTGGCCATTTGCTGTTGTTTCTTATTGGCTAGCTTTGACTTAATTATTGACCCATAATTATTAATATATATTTTTATAAGGTCTTATCATACTCAGAATGCAGAATTGCATCCCCTCTTCGCAGGAATCACATGGTGACGACTCCCTTCACTACATTTCCCAGAATCCTCCTAGACTCCTAGTCCCACCTATCTTGCTTCCCTACTGGCCAACAGTGCTTTATTTACATATACACAGGAGAAATGCAGCCAAAGCAATGTCCTACCAGATCACAGGAAAGGATGCTTTAATTTGATTGACATATGAAGAGAGGACAAAAGTTTCACACTCATTTTTCTCTAGTACCTTTAAAGGCAGAAATATCTTCTATTTCATGAGGCCCTAGGACTTGGTACCTCTTTGCCATTCACGGGTAGGAGTGGTTTTTATTTTAAGTTTTCAGGGGTGACTTGTTACAATCTTGACTGTTTTTCTGCCTCCATTCAATTTTTCTCAGTCCCCATGTATTAAATAAAAAATCACAGTTGAGATTTCTACAAAACACCATGTTTTTCACTCCATTTCAAAAAATAAGCCATCCACTGCCTGGGTTCTTTATTATGCAGTAAATGGAAACCAAACACATGAACTATTATACATGATGACTGGATCATTTGTCTACATCTGTGTTTGTATTTCTGCATAAATTGAACTTTAATATTTCAGACACTATCTCATGGAGTACTACCATAATTGTTTCCACTATAAACATAGCATCTGTTTCTAAGATCTCAGTTTATCAATATAATTAGAATAAAGCAAAATAGGTCAACAGAAACATTACAAATGTTAGTGACTGAAAGTCTGTTTTGGAACCCTGCTTTATAACTGACCACCTGAGGCTGTAAGAAAATTGCCTAATTTTTCAATGGTAGGTTCATGTCAGAGAGATAGGCACACACAAAGACTAACTGATAAACTCATAGTTGGTTAGGGAGACAGATGAAAAGACATACATATGCAGACTTATACAGATCTAGCCAACAATTGGGCCAATTGTTGATTCTCTTCTCTTTCCTTCTATGCTTATATCAGACGCTGAGCAAGACATGAACTATACATATTCCTGAGCCTCAAAATTACTTTTCAATCTTGACAGTTTTCTGGGTCACCCTTGTTTTTTTCTGTTCGTTGGTATTCAAAGCTAATGTTAATATTATCTCCCTGCCCTTTCCATGCTTTTTGATAATTGTGCCACGGAATGAAAGGATTCTGATGTCATGATTATGACTTTGACTATTCACCAAGGAGCACTAACCCAGAGAGAGACAAGGGAGACACTGCCTCAGCCCCACTCTCCCACTCCACCACGAACATGGTACACAACCAACAACTCTTATGCTAGCATGCCCACCCAGTTTAAGAACACTTACAAAATTCCCAGAATGGGTTATCGATATAAAAAAAAAAGACTTTAAATAGAGACAGAGCCTGAAATGATGAAAAAAACTTTCATGTGAAGTCAATCTTAAAAAGGAAAGGGTAAAGATCGAGATGCTGCTGCCTAGAGAAAACCTAACAAACTAGCTATGCCCCGGTAGATTCTCCAAATGCCCAAGATCCGATTTTGTACTTTGTGACCCCAAATCGTAACCATGTCTGAGCACCCCACTGTGTGCCAACGCATCCTAACCAATGAGAGCATTCACCTAGAATGAGTGGCAGGTGGAAGAGGGGTGGGGCTAGAGGAGAAAGCAGTCATAGTGTGTGCTTTGCCTTTGATGCTTCGTTTGCTCTCTTGGTCCTCATCATGAGCATGACGTTGCTCTTTTTCATTCCTGACATAAAAACAAAAGCTTTTCTTTATCTTTGGTCAAGCATCTCCGTATATCAACCCTTTTGGGACCCAAAGTTTCATATTCTTTTTACCTAGTTTTTCTTCCTTGAATTGATTCTTGGCCACTTTCCTATCCACTAAATCTGTACTCCCTGTCCTGGATCTGACATCTCAGGAGTAATGGCATTATTACATCTTAACATTTGAGCTGGCTTTCCATGTTGACTTTCACTACTCCTTTGATGTCTGCTGCTTCTCCCGTTACCTCCCCGTCAATCATGTTTTGTGGACATCAATACCCCCTCTTCCTAATTTTGCCCTTTATATCTTCCATCCCAATTCTTTTTTTTTTTTTTTTTTTTTTTTTTTTGGTTTTACGAGACAGGGTTTCTCTGTATTGTTTTGGAGGCTGTCGGTTCAGCCTGGCCTCGAACTCACAGAGATCTGCCTCTGCCTCCCGAGTGCTGGCATTAAAGGCATGCGCCACCACCGCCCGGCTCATCCCAATTCTTTATTTAAGTTTTCCTACTGAATCACTTTGAATATTCTCCCTAGGAATCTCCTGGCTTCCATTGCTTTCTTCTTAATGAATATCATCAGTGATGCCTTACTTTGTGATATGAATATCTATGTAAAAGATGAATCACAAGATTCCCACTATTTTTGTGCCACAGTAGAATGGTATGTGGACCTCTTCCATGGATAACCTGCCACGATAAGAACTCCTCTGAACTGTGTATATTCCATCCACCTGACATGACGAAAGCATTGGGTAACAATGATACTGGAGAGCCTGATTGTCCTACAGGGCATCTGATGGATTACAAAAGCAAAAGTGGGCAGTGTAGTGACAAGTGGGTCTTGTTCACCATTTAGTTTGCTTAAGATGGTTAAGTAGGAAGGGAATGAGTGTGAGATCTCGGAAGAGTTGGCCCGTGATTTCTCACAGTGAGGAGTGGAAAGGAGGATTTCTCCTAAGCTTCCTCCTATCCACTGCCCTATGAAATTACATCTTTAGTTGTGCTTCAGTGGATACTTTATGAGGTTGAGCTTTGAGGTCAGGACCTGAGATTTAATAGCAGCTCTGCCATGGAATGTGAGTTTAATCCAGAGATCTGCCTTGAGTATGGGTGTCATTGTCTCTCCAGGGATGACAATAATACCTTCCACACAGGAGAGCAAGCTGAAACAGATATATGGTCTGTGCAAAGTAACAACCCAAGACTGATACATTGAAAAACTATTATTTCACCTCATATTTATTATTGTGTGGTTAGAAAAATAAAGGATTGCCCTGTTAACCATTTCACTAACTCGTAGATAGGAAGGCAAATAAATGCAAAAGACTCCTGCTATTTAAAAAAGACAAATTAAATGAATCATCTATCACTAATGGCTATACACTTACTGTTTATAAACTACCTGTTTTGGTGGGTTTTTTTGTGTTTGTTTTTGTGTTTTTGTTTTTGCTGGTAGCCATTTCATATTAATTCAGCTTGAAATTCAAGTGAGTCATAGTTTACTTAGGATAAAATATGTTTGTTTATCTTTGATGCAAAGACATAAAATAGTCTGATCTGAAGTCAAGAAATGTGGTTACAATTATGTACATCACACATTCATGTATGGGGATACACACACACACACACATACCTCTTAAAGAAAACAGTGTTGGTGTTCATGTTCATTTACATGCTAGCTAGCTATTATTACATTCCATCGGTGGAAAATGAGTTTCAATACTCATGGTTTGTAATATCATATGGAAAAATGCTACTTACAATGTGAATAAGACTGGAAAGATGTTCTCATTTGGCATTCGCAAGTCCCGGTGAGGAAAACTAGAAGGACCTCACCTTGCTACCCCTGTGACGTTATGTGTTACTGGTGTTACATAAGGAATGGGGGCTGCTGGTGGGAGGAAATGGGTAAGCAGGGGGTGGCACTCATGTGCCTCTTTTCATGGCCATGCCTTTGTTTTTTAGCAGGATCTTGAATCAGGATCTGAAAGCGGAGCAGACAGTATCTCAGTAAATCAGACACAGGTGACTCTGTCTTCTAACCCTAACTCCACCGACCTATCATCCACTCCAGGGAGCAATTCTGGAACCAAACCCAAGGCCATGGTAAGTTGTAAAAAAAAATCCCAGAGCAACAGTCTGTGTTGCTGAACATGAGGTAAGCTTTGATAGTCTCCTGTTCCGGGTGGAAAGGAGACTAATGGAGTCTTTGCTGTATCAACTTGATATTGTTTACTGAAGCATCACCCTAAAAAATGTATCCTGTTTATTTATTTTTAATGGTTGCATAAGTAGTTCACTGAAGTAAGCCCTGCATCCAAAATTATGCAGAACTTTAAACAAGCCAGAATGTAAAATGTGGAGATGAGCTGTCCTGTCTTGTTATCCTAATCATAACGCATACTCATTAGGAAGTCTCTAAGCTTTGATGATAGATGGGTGGATTGGTAAGATGCTGTCGGAGATGATATGATGATACGCAGAACCTCAGATGTATAAAGTCGCCGTATCACACTGTGTGGGTATTCAATGATGTAGAACATGGAAAGCATAGTATTTAATGGAATGTAAGCTACTGTCCTTGTTGCCCTGATTGACAGACTTTACAATGCCATCTACACAAATGAAAGGAGACTTTCCACACAGTATGGTTAACTCTGAATAAAAGATGTTTTCCTTTAAGGAAAATGTGAAGTGCAGTGGGAAAATAGTGTTTGACTCTAAAAGGTAACATTTATGGGGGAAGTAATTACTGCTTCAAATATCTAAAGTCCACACAGTTCCAAAATAGCCTCTCCTAGTTGGGTGAAAATCACAGAGCCGTATTATTTTTTTAATCCCCATGTTAGCTTAACACAGAGAAATGAGTTAGGACTGTTTGTTTTCCTGTCTTTAAAATAAAGGCAGTTCTAAAATGGGACTAAAAGAATACTCTGAATTTAAGATGTGGTAGATTCACTGGGATTTAAAGAGAATCAAAGCACACTGTTTGACATAGCAGAGGAGCCTGTCCTCAGTATTTACATAGGTAGGAGGTAAATTGCCTACTATCATTTATATCCAGATCATTTGATGATAAACATCTACTGAACATCTGCTGCATACCATGCACTATGCCAAATTGGGAAGAAAAAAAAAACTTCGAGAAATAATATGTTATCCACATCTTTAAATGGTTTCCATTTTAGCAAAGGAGGGTGGGCACTTAAACAGTAAAATGCATGGAAATGCTACATTTTGAGGGTGCTATATGTGCAGGGAATAAAAGGCATGCACAATGTTGGCTTGGGATACAGTGAAAAAAAGACAATCAGCAGTAACATGTGATAATAGGCAGACTCTAATGGAATGTTGTTCTTTTACTTCATGATAAACACCCTTGGCTTACCATTTTATAGAGGTTCTTTAGTCTACTGTACAGCCCTGTCATGCTGTTTTTGTGTCTTCAGTGGCTTAAGTCTTTCATGTATAGTTTAATGTAAAGATGCTACATGAAAATATTTGAATTTGGACACTGCAGGTTCTTATGTTTCAGTTTGGTGGGATTTACTCTTCTTATGTTGTGATTGAAGCACAGCATTTATGGCATAAAATATACTAACATTAGGGTTAATGCATTCTCTCATCTGTGGAAATCTAGAGTCTTGCATAGTTGTATGCCCATGTAGCTACCGCTCAGGTCAAGATAAATTCTGAGGAACAGGGTGATACTGGGTCTAGATTATACACTCTCCTGTCACCTGTTTCTCCACATGTCTGAAAATTATATGATTAAAAGCAAGTGGTGCTTACAGCTATTTTTCAATTCATTTTACATTTTCTCTAAAGGCTTTGTTTGGTGTGTGTGCTTATTTGTGAGGTATACTATTATAATTTGATGTATGTATGTATGTATGTATGTATGTATGCATGTAGTGTGCCATGATCAAATCACCATAACTGACTTTTGTCTGAGAACCAGCACATTGAGACAACAGCCATAAGGCAGGGAGAGCTAACTGAGAATGGCTTGGGTTTTAAAGCCTCAAAGCCTACCCCTAATGACTCATCTCCTCCAACAGAGCCACACCTCCTGATCCTCTCCAAACAGATGTACCAGCTGAAACCAAGATGAACATTTTAGCAATGCGTTGAGTTAATGGGCATGGGATGAATCCGTTTTCTTGTGTGTATAATTTTTTCCATTGTTTTATAATTTTCATTGTGGAGATCTTTTATTCCTTCCTTTCAATTTTAAATTGCATTTATTTGTCTATTTTTGTGGGTGTGTGCATAGGTAAGAAGACAGTTTTTAAGAGTCAGTTCTCTCCTTCTACCAAGATGTCCTGGGTGTTAAACTCAGGTTGTCAACCTTGGTGGAAGTTCCTTTACCCTGTGAGCCAAGTTGCTAGCCCTAACTTACTTCTTCAGTAAAATTTATTTATGAGTAATGTAATTCTGTAAGGCTTTGGATATGGTTGTTCTAAATGATATTTCGTCAACAATCCTACCCAGCTAGAGGTCTATAAATCACAACAGAACTAATAAGGCATGATATCCCTAAGGATTCAGTAGTGGTAGCTAACAGCTCTGTAATTGGACTTCAGAGCCACTCAACATGAGGGAAACTTGTGCCTGTTACTGAAAACCTAGCCAATTGCCCAAAGCTGATGAAGTTATGAATCTTGGAAAACAACCTACAACCACCACTTAACTAAACTAACGTAATTGTTAACTAAATTTTAATGTTTATCATTATACCCCAAAAGAAGTATAGTCCCCATCCCACCTCAAAGAAAATTTTCTAAAAAAAATATTCAGCCATTTATTACTGATACGTAATAATTCTTATTGATTTTGTGTTCTAAGTCTTTACTGAATTATTAGTTCCAACCATTCTTGGTGGGGTTTGTACTGTTTTCTGCATAAACAATCATGTCATTCTCAAACAGGAGTTTCTTCACTTCCTCATCCTTGATCTGGTTGCCTTTGTTTCTTTCTCTTTCCTAAACCCTCTGGCTAAGATATCCAGGACTGCATGAACAAGAATGATGAAAGGAGAACCCTTGTTCTGTTCCAGGAAACTATCTCAGTTTTTGTCTTCTTCCGATCCTTTTGTTGTTGTTGATGATGATGATGATAGTGACAATGATGACCATGGTGATAACGATGATGATGTTTGTCTTAAGGATCCTTTAAAAATGCAAATGTTAGTTTGACCACTATTACCTGTGCTTCTATGAAAAAAGACTAAGACTTGGGTAACAGGACAAGAAGATGTCTTATTTGTAAAATGTGTAACTGGAGGAATAGAATCAGTCTAGCGTTGTACAGTACAGAGTAACTGAAAACACCAGCACGACTGTGTGGATGTGAGATGGTGGTTTATCTCCATGCCTCGGCAAGGAGCTTCTTGAGTTGCCTGGTGCCACATAGATTCTAATAATGGTGATGGGAACTAGAATCCTTTAAGCAAGTTGGGACAGAACAGCTTGGAGTATCTCCTGAACAACCTAAGGGACCTTTCGAATTAACCGGTACATCCTGAGCAACCTAGGGACCTTGGGAATCCACCAGAATGGACCGTGCAGTGGAGTGAACAGCCAGCCTTTTGGTTCTTCCTTCCTGCCTTTGTAATCATTCCCCCACTTCATGTCATATGTCCTTTTGCCCTCTTTCTCCTTCCTACCTTGATTTCTCAGAACAAGTGGTCCCCTTGGTCCCCTTTCTAGTTTTTAAGCTTTACCCACATTTACACACACACATATGCATATACTCATGTATATGGGCATATGTACCAAAAGCTAGGATCCTCATATGCTAGAAGAATATTTGCTTTTCTTTTTTTGCTTTTTTTCTGAATAGGGTTGCCTTGTTAAATATAATATTTTTTTAGATCTACCCAATTTCCTGAAGTTTTCATTTTTCTTTTCAGCTTAGTAAAAATCCATTGTGTAAATGGACCACCATTTCATTATCCCTTCATCTGTTGATGGCCATCTAGGCTGGTTCCTTTTCTTTGCACTTGTGAAATATACAGCAATAACAGGAGTATAATGTGTGTGTCTCTATGGTGAACGGGGAGTTTGGGAGGATGCCCAGGAGTGGTACCACTGAATCATCTGGAGATTTTAGTTGTGTTTGAGAAACCTCCATACTGATCTCCATAATGGCTGTACTAGTTTACATCCCACAACTATAGAATTAGTTCTTCCTTTTATCCCATACACTAGCCAACTTTTGCTGTCAGTTTTCTTGTCAGTAGATATTCTAGGAGACATGGATTCAAATTGGTTTGGATTTGCATTTTCCTGATGTATATCGATGTTAGACACTTTTAAAGAATTGTTTTTGTTTATATATGTGTGGTGGGTGTAAGCATATACAGGTGCCTACAAAAGACAGAGTTTTTTGGATTCTCTGAAACTGTATTCAAAGGCATTTGTAAGCCATTTGGTGTGGTTTCTGGGAACCAAACTCAGGTCCTCTGCAAGACCAATAGTGTTATTAACCGCTGAGCCATCACTCCAGCATGTTAAATACTTTAAAAATTCTTACTAACCCCTGCTTTCTTCTTTTGAAACTATTGGTTCATTTCATCAGCCCACAGTTTTTAATGAATGCTATTAAAATTAAAGACATTTAAAAAGACTTTCTTAATCCAGGCAAGGGTATGTATGCCAGAAATATAAAATTAAGAGGATGAGACAGGAAGAGGTAAGTTCAAGGGAAGCCTAGGCTACCAAGAAAGACTATTTCATAGATAGATAGATAGATAGATAGATAGATAGATAGATAGATACATACATACATACATACATACATACATACATACATACATGCATACATAGATAGACAGACCCACAGACAGATACATGATAGATAGATAGACAGATAGATAGATACATAGATACATAGATATAGTTTGGAAAATGGCTCTGTGGGTAAAAGTATTTGCCCTGTAAGTATGAAAACCTGAGTTCGAATCTCTAGAACCCATATAAAAATCTAACACATAGAGTATCTGTAATGACAAAATAGAGAGATTGGAGGTGAAGACGGGAGAATTTCTGGAAGCTGTAAACCAGCCAACCTGATGTATAGAGTGAATAAACACTAAGGATACC